ACTGGAAACTTCTGGTGACCTGATTCAGTATCTGTTTATTTTTGTGTTTAATTTCATAATAACTACCTGTAGGGCTAGCACTAACTCCAACGCCGAGGAACCCGGGTCCCACTCTACTTTCTTAATGTACTTCACAATGTTCAATTTTAAAAGAGTACTTAAAATATCCATTCCCTTTCTAGATATTACTTATATAAACTCATTGAATACATAAGAATATCACAGTATGTTTTCTTATTTCATGGACTTCCACTTTGCAGCCTTTTGCCAACTCTTATCTTCCAAATGTCTCACAGGTATGCACACTATCCAATAATCTCTCTGACCATAATGTCAAGGTTGATGGTATGATATTCATTCCTAGCTTCTTTGGAGACCATAACATCACAGAAAAATTTCTAAAGATCCATAGTAACTTCCTCAGATCAGGGTTGTTAACTGAGGTTATTGTTGGCATATAGTTTTTGGAGGGTTTTCTTTTTCCATAGCTCAGCAGCTGACTACATCACAGAGACACCCATCTGAACCCTCTCCTTCCTGTTCACACATCCTGTGACATTCTCCTGAAATGTATCTCAAACTTACTTACTTCACTTTGTTCACTAACAAACTTAAATATTTCAGTTTGGAATCCCACTTGGACTGATTATTCACACTAGGCCTAGTCTAAAACATGCACGGATATTATGTCCATGTTTTCTACATTAAACAGATAAGGAACATGAAATACATAAAGCAAATAATTCAATACCACAGGAAATATGCAGCACGTATGGGCCCAGTGTGGATGTCTTTGTCATCTGTAATTCAAGGAAATAATTCTTGCTTGTTCCTTTCCTGTCACAGATGCTATGAAGGCAAGAAGCCAGGCAGTTTTGAACAAAAGAAAATGTTAGGACTTGAGCCATCACTTTATATTTTGTCCAACATTTAAAAATACCAGAGGCCCAGATCAGTTTGGAAAAGCATCTTATTGTAAACAAGCCTCTGTTTTGTGTGCAGGTGTAAAGCACACAGCTAATCCAAACCAAGAGTTTACTTGAGGAACTTCTATGCAATTTGTAAATTGTAGGCCTGCATCTCAAACAGATATATCTGAGATATAATCATGTAATTGGGAATTAACATATCAAATAAACATAAAATACAAATTATACTTTTTGTGATTTTAACTTTACTATTCTGAACTGTACAATATTTGAGCACATGGCTTAGAGGGACCCACAGCTTTAATATTAATGACTTATTCCAGATTGCACAAAACTCTTGTTCTTTAGCAAGAAAATAGATGATATGGGTGAAGTCAAGAAAAACATACTATAGAAAGTATATGTATTATTCTAACCATTGCAAATATCCTACATGATATGGAGTATCACAAAAGTAGAAACTGTATCCTTTAATATGCATAATTTTTATGGATATTTAAAGAATGAAGTTTGTGTTTCATTCTTCAAAAAGATAGATAGTTATAGTAGCATATCATGACTTATGCATGATCCAGTACAAAAATATCAATGAGAATACAGTCACTTTGTAAGTACGCTTCCTGTTCTCCCACACTTGTGTCAATATTTCTTACTTAAATAATTAAGACTCTCTTCTTATGCTTTGTGGTGTGTGATACCAAGCTAGCGAATATCTATTAATAATGAATTCCCAATATCTAAAATTTTTGTCTATGGAAACCCTTAAAATAACTAGATCATTGCTAGATACAGAAACTCTAAACAATCTAACTTACTTTTCATACAGAATGACAACTCAGGTTTTCCAGCATAGGACCTGATCAGGGCCCCTGAAGGTGGGTGTCAGTTGCAGGGCCTGGGCAGTCTATATGGCCTCTGGCAGTGGAACCAGTATTTATCCCTAGTATATGAATGGGATTGGGGAGCCCATTCTTCATGGAGGGTTACTCTCTCAGCCTCAATACATGGGGAGGGCCTAGGTCCTGCCCCAAGAGATGTGACAGACATTGATGATACATAGGAGGCCTTACCTTCCCTGAGGAGTAGATGGGGGTGGGTGGGGGAATGAGTAGATAGGAGGGAGAGGGAACTGGGATTGGCATATAAAATAAGGTTGTTTTTAATTTAAATGAAAATTATTTTAAAAATTAGGTTTTCAGAGAAAGTATTCTTTCTAAGAAGAACACTTCACACCAGCTTTTTCTACTCGTTTCCTTGAGCTTTTAAATTGTTTCCCTGTTTTAATCGTTAAGATATCTTCCCTCTTTAACTACAAAGGAAGCAAAAGCATGTGCCACTGAGACAGATTGGATTGTCTCTGCAGAGATTACATTCTACTTTTCAAGTGAGAACATTTCCTCCTCCAATTGTATTTAAACAACACAAGTTCAGAGAGAGAGAGAGAGAGAGAGAGAGAGAGAGAGAGAGAGAGAACACTACAACAGGGTACAGTAACTGCCAGTGTTGTTTTCCTTTCATAGCAGTTCAACTTCCAGGGGAATTTCCAGGATTTATAGTCTATGAGAATAAAATAGTGTAATTCTCTCCTATTACATAAGGCCACAGGAACAGTGAAGATATTACATGAAAATAACAATTCTTATTCCCATGGATGACTTTTTTTTTCAAACAGAACTTTAAGGAATTGATTTATAATATGCATATTATATACTATTTAGTACAATGTCTTGTGCTATTAAGTGTTTGTTATACATTTTAATACCTTAGGAATTTCCAAGTGTTTATCAAATAGTCACATCCATTGAATAACAATCATAATAATTGTAATTCAATGTTCCCCTCATTTCCCAAATGCCTATTACATTGAGTTCAGATTCTTATTAGTGTATAGAAATATATTGTCTCATGATCATAGGTACTATCTTCTAAATACCATTTGCTCTGAATATATCTGCCTCAAAGAAATTACCTAAAGCTGTAGCTTTACTAAGCTATTTTACTAAACATGAACCTTTAGTAGTGATTACCCCCAAATGAAAACTGCATATAACAATATTTACCATTGCTTAATTAATGCAATTTTATTTTTATTTAGTTTTAGTCACATTAGTTATGTTACTAAAACAATCTAAATTTGTGTCTTAACGCTTTAAGCATAAGAGCCCAAAGAGAAGAAGAGGCCAATGCCTCCCATCCCTTATCGTTTCTCACTCTCTTTTAAATGATACTATAGCATATAACATATATTTATTTATAACAAACAAAATATAACTCTTGTAGGAACAATAGAAAATAAGATTGTGTCAGAAGTGATTTCAAAACCAGTATGCCTCAATTTCTCAGCAGTTGCAGACATGCATTGCCTACTACAGATCATTTAGACAGACAAGAATTCAAAACACCAAAAGGAAATATCAAATCAGTCTGACATCTGAGTCTATTGATGTGACTGTCCTATACTTTATACTATTATTTTCAGTCAGGCATGTCTGTCCTGGAGACAGGCACAATGTCACAAGGTCACTGTTGGCACTCTAGGAGATCCTCGGGAGGATCTCTGCTGAACAGAAGGACAAGGATGAGTTGGTTTCTTTAGTTCTAAGACGCCATCAACAGATGAGTGTGAATCTGGAACTTTTGATATTATCTATGAATACAGGTGACCATCAAGACAGGTACATTAGCCATTTTTAAGCTATGGTATGAGCGATCTTGTTTAGAGACTGTTGAGACAGTCAACACACACACAAGGTCAGTTCACCTCTTTCAACTGTCTAAAACAATATACAGGTCTGTATGAAAATAGCGTGCTAGCACAGGCATCGCACATACACACATGTCGACAGGTGGAGACAGACACATAGACTCAAAGTGTCTCAGCCAGTTTGTCATCTGGGATACATTTATATTAAATGAGCAGAACCAGCTCTCACACTTATGACATGGTGTGCTGGTATAGGAGGAAAAGAAGTCCAGCCTAGGGCAGACTAAACAAACTAGGAAACATAAATAATAAATAAAATCATGGGAAACCATAAAATTACCTTTAGAAGAATGAGAAATAAAACAGGAAAAAGAAAGTCCAGGTTAGAAATCTACTAAGATTTGTCTCAGGTATGTTTTGTGTGTGTGTGTGTGTGTGTGTGTGTGTGTGTGTGTGCGCGTGCGCGCGCGTGTGCTTGTGCACACACGCTCACATCCAAAGAGGATCCACAGAAGAAAAGGCCATGCACTTCTTTTTCTAGCATTAATCTAACAGGGAGAGCAGTATTGAAAGTTAACACCCACAATATTCACTTTTAAGAAAGACTGAGCCAGACCTTGGGTTGGGGTGTCTGCACCGCTCAGAAGTTATATTTGGTATTAGAGTCATGCAAACTATTGGGGTTCAATAACTACTTGTTGAAAGAAAGAGGAAGAAATTTGATAAACATCAATTATTTTATAGCTCGTTGGAAAACAACAATCAAATTAACTCAGGGAATTTGCCAATCAGTAATAGAATATTTTAATAGAAAAATGGATTATTATAAAAATGAAATAACTTGTTTAAACAACAAAAGAGCTTCTTATATTCTAATCTTCCCATATTGCAGATGATTTCATTATATATCAGTAGTTTTTATTCCATCCTGGGAGAAGGAGGAGGAGGGAAAAGGAAATGAAGAAGAAGAGGAGGAGGAGGGGGAAGAGGAGGAGGGAGAAGAGGAGGAGGGGGAGGAGGGAGAGGAAGAGGAGGAGGGAGAGGAAAAGAAGGAGGAGGCGGAGGAGGAGGAAGAGGAGAAGGAGGGAGAGGAGGAGGGAGAGGAGGAAGAGGAGGAGGGGGAGGAGGGGAAGGAGGAGGGAGAGGAAGAGGGGACGGAAGGGGAGGAAGAGGAGAAGGAGGGAGAGGAGGAGGAGGGGGAGGGGGAGGAAGAGGAGGAAGAGGAGGGGAAGGAGGAGGAAGAGGAGAAGGGAGAGGAAGAGGGAAAGGAAGACAGTGAGAAGGAGGAGGAGGCGAAAAAGAAGGAACTTTACTTTACAAAACCCCCTAAGTGGGCTCCCATCCTACATCCAGCCATCCAAGGTTACCTTTGTTACAAAAGAAGTCCACTTCTTCACAGCTCAGATTTTCTGGCCCAAAGTCGGCAGGGAAGCTTTCCTCCAGTGGAAAGTTCCCTTTGGCGATGCCTTCAGCCTCCTCTGATGGGTATTCTTCGTCCTCATCCTCAATGGCATCTTCCAGCGGCCCTTGAAAAAGAATCAGGGACACTGTACCAAAAACATCCAAAGAATGGAGCGAAACGAAAACCCTTTAAGTGGGGTCATTTTGATTACAGAGGTGAGGTGAGGAAGGAGAACTCCATCCAGTGAGTCCTCCCAAGGACTCACACACCACACTAATGCCACCTGGGAATCAGAAGGTAAGGGTTTATGGGAAGTGAAGATGCTCAATGTATAATGAGTACGTGTAAGGACACTTACAAAATAAGTAAACTTTTAAAGAACGCTGGTGCCCAAAGAGACGACACAAAGTAATTTGAGTCTCCATTCCACCCCCTCCCACTCCCAGCACCAAGCCTTTACGAGCAAACCCGTGCATGTTATGTCCATTGGTTAGAACTCACTGAGTGGTAAAGAGGCACCAGTGTCTCTTACACCGTTGAATAGTTTTACCTGCGAATTTTTAAAAAGAAAGATTTACAGTAACTGAATGCATTTTAATCGAACTGAGATTTTAATAAAGTCTAGACTTTTAAAAACCCATCTTAAGAAAAGATTCCATTCTATGCATTTGAGGCTTGAAGAAAAAAAAATTACATATTTCTCTCCCTTGTGAAAGCATAACCCTATTCACAATTAATTGAAATTTTTTTTCTAAAATGAAAAGTAGGTCCCTAATGAAAAATGTAATTTGTATTTATGTGACACTTTTTCAGTAATAAAAATACAATGTCTTTTGGAAAACTGAGAGTGAGGTGCACTACATTAATGGACCTATTTTACTGAAAGAGAAGGCAGGGGGCAGGTAGTTGTTCCGGGCTCTGAAGTGGATGGCATGAGAATACCATGCTGTTAAAGGAATAACGTAGCTGACTCGTTTTACTAAGTGGAAGACTGAATTTACCCCCAAAGAAGTAATGTAGCATTTTTATCTGCAGAGCAATAATCTACACTAGTAGTCACTCTGTCACTGGTATTGACAGGATAAACACATGCAGAATTAAGTTTTTGCCTCTTTCTGTGTCCCTCACTCCTCTCTTTCTCTGTCTCTTTACAATTTTAGGGTTAAAGCTAAAATCTTACCATTTTAAATGCTTCAATATTATCATTTTTATGTTTGTGTAGGCTAGCATGCTTGCATCCAGTGGTGAGTGTAGGACTGCCATCCATGTGAGTTTGCTCAGGACTGACTTGACAAGACACATTTACACTGGCAGAATCAATTACATGCATTTAAATTAAGGGACGCCCAAGAAACACTTTTCTTTGCGAGATTGTTTGTCCTCTACAGAATTTATTTTTCCCTTATATAATTCAACAAGAAACGTTTATTTTTAATATTCTTGTAATTGTAACACTACTTATCCTTAAATTGAAGAGTCAAAAATAAATCCGTAGATCTCATACTAGTTTTTAATCTGATATTAGTGATTTCAAGTCTAACATCTATAATTTTAGAATGGTTATGTCAAATAACAAAGCCTGCAAGCCATATATAAAATAATAGCAAGACATCTCTCTTCCTCAGAAGCGTTTGTAACGTTTATTAGTGCATTCATTAATGGCGTATCTAATGAAGACACTAATGGATGAAATTTCCTTATTAATATTTTCCTAAAATATTTAATTCAATATTTGGTGAAAAGGAAACATAATAAAAAAGGGTCTCATTTGTGTCTGGTGTAGGAGTTCTAGGGTGCGTTCTTATGTGGTCTGTTGTGGAGCCAGTATCTTCTTTAGGTTTATATTCAGGTAAGCAATCAGCTGACAGAGCACCGTCACAAACCACTAAGTGAAGCTGCTGGTTTTCAAAATGGGCCACTTTGCACAGTCTTTCTTGAACATCATGCATTACTTACAAACATTTTCACCCAGACAAAACTCCATAATACAAGTAACTCGTGAACATGAAAATACTAGCAAGTGGTTAATCCGTATTCCCAGTTGTTTTTCATAAACCCTTAACAAGTTCGTTTTACAACTATGTGTCTTGCTCTTCCGATTGCTAAGAGTCAACCAAAATATATATTCCCTCTTCCATAAAAATTAGTAGGCTGCCCAAAATAAAATATCTGATTGCTCATATTCATTTTTTTATATAATCCATACTGGATCAATTAGTAAAATAACTTATTTAATATCAGTTACAACAGAAATGGCATTATGTAGTTCTTTGGGGAGTCATATTTTTCTTTGAAAATATAAACTTTGAAATTTCCAGTCATATAATAAATATTTAAATAGTTTCATATATAAAATATGAAAAGCATAAAATCCTTCATACCTAGAGAACATGCATGCATATTATTAAAATAAAATTAACAATATATGCTATCTTTTTAAAATTGAAACAGGTGTGATAAAATTTTTGCAAGATCTTTTATTAAAAATAATGTTACTGAATAATTAAAACACAGACTAGCAAATTGGCTCCTGTCATATATTAAATTAAAATGAAAGTTGTATTAAAATCTTGCTGGTGCGATCATACAAAAGAAAAACAAACCCTGCAACACTGATTTATACTTAGGAAGCCTCCAACTCAGTTAATATGCTGTTGATCTTAAACAGGTGCATGGATTTGAACTGTACATTTCACCTTTATTTCTAGGTTTGTGAAAAACTTACAATTGATAAATCTACTGCATATCTAAGAGTTAAAAATATGTTTTCGGTATCTCTTAGTGAGTCCAAACATGTAGCCGAGATGGAGCACTTAGGTTCAAAGCCTAGGTATGGTAATGGCTTTGTGTGATCATTTGTTGGAAAGGTGTGAGAACTCAGCGCCGATATTTACAATGAGACGCAGGAAGATGATTAAATAGTCAAATTGCATTCCTCCCAAAGTAAAGTCTGATTTATATGATTTACTGTACTTTCCAATGTGAAATTATTAGCCACTTTTTAAGCACCCGGTCAGAGGCTGAGGAAAAAGGTTTCTCTTAAAATGTGTAGTTTTATGTCTTAGATCCCACTCTCCTCTTGGCACTCTTCCTGTAACAGAAAGCATCACAGACAATTGGTGGCCATAAACTAATATTTTAAAAGGGTAAATAAGAGACACTTGAAGCCCCACTATAATTAAGAGCACCAATGAAGGAAGGAATAGAGAGACCTCCTGGGTATGGATTAGTGGGCACGGAGTCCACTTCAGGAAAATCACCACACGTAATTTGACACAAATAATATCTCCTCAGAAAAGGCTCACAACCAAGCTCCATGTGCCCTCATGGAGAAAATTACTTCTGATTGGGACCACTTGGCAGGCAAGTGTGAGGAAATCTGAATTCCAGCTCTTCAATTGTGTCTGATTTACAGATATCCAAACACTTTTGCCAGAATTAATAGTCTGGTGTTTATAAACGTTTACCTGATTTTAAAATACTAAAATTTAGCTACATATCCTAAAACTATGATTACAATGGCACTAAAGGGAAAATCCACCGTGTTCTTAATTGTCTCAGAGAATAAATGAACAGGCCCGGGTGGGAAGTATTTGTTCCATTTTTAGGGCAGGGAAAGAATTGTGTACTCAGAGCCTGTTTGAATTTGCCGTGGCTACCTTTGTGTTCCAGAAATAATGAAAAAAGAAAAGTCCAGGAGATTCATAAGTTTCGCAGAACTTGATGGTACCGAGTAACCCACTGCCCCAGTTGTATGGCAAAGCCTAGCCTAGTGTGGGTCTGTCCTGGAATTTGTCATACGGTAATAACTTGAATGACCTAATGTTGTAAAGGGACACATAGGATGGTGAAGATTAAGTTATTCTGTCCTATACCCTGGTGACATAATCACTGAGTGAAATGTAAAATAACAGATTCTACATATATGGCTATGAAGCATTTAGGGGAGAGTTAATCCCCCACGTAAAGGAATCTGTGAGGAAGTCACCACAATTTCAGGGAGCTAAAGAAATTCCCCCAAACATATCCATAGCAATTGAGGTTAGAGCTAGAAGCAGACAAAGAAAACTTGAGGGTAATATATAAGTGACATGCAAACTACAGAAAGAAGGTTAACATTGGCAACCACATAAGGAGTTGTTAAGAAAGCAGTGATCAGCAAATAGATATCAAAATCACACTCATGTGTCTTTACATACAATGTTTTGCTTTGTCTACCTTGTCAGACTACTATATACAGGAAAACCCTTCCCCAAATTTCAGATGGTCTCTATTTAGATAATTCATAGTGTTTCAGAATAAGGGGCACAAAAAAAAAAAATCAGGTCTGCAGAAATTAACATACAGTGTGATGTATGGAGAGGGGAAAGAAATGTCAAATTTTATGGTTTGAATTCAATATCTTCTATATAAAATCTTTCCCTTGAATAGCCATTGGCATTCATTTACTATATATTGTCTTGATTTGATTTTCGATGCATTTTTATTAAAACAGAGCACTGTCAAAGGAAAACTACAGAGAACATCTGATCTCTCCCATGCATTAATATTCTAAGCATTCCACAGGCTGCACAAGGCTAGCCACCTAGTAAAATGAGATTACTTCTAAATACTGGGCAGCCTTGATTACAACTGACAGGTGGGAGGAAAGTCATATTAGAATATTATCCTTCCCAATAATTACAATAATCCATCACAGTGTGCTTCGAAATTCTAGTCATTGAATCATTGAAATTTTCCCTGAAAACACATACCAATATTCACAGACCTTTTCATTCCAGTGGTTTTCTCTTTTTGTTTGCTTTATAATGTAGGCCACTTTTCCCACTTTTCACTAGTATCAGATAGAGAGTTAAAACTGAAAACTTCATCACAGATTTTGTTAATTGTGCACACACAAAACAAGGCAATCACACTAAAAAAATAATTTTTTTTTAAAATGTTAACAAGTTAAGGAAAATGAAAATGATGAGGCTCTGGCCAAAGTGCTTACTTCTGTGTCATGTCGCTTTCACAATTCCTTTGTAACAGATGTTGTTCAAAGAAGGGAGTAAGAAGATGCATAAACATGCACGCACAAACATATATCCAGACATGCACACACACGTGAACAAACAGATATAC